GTAGCAGATGTAGTAGTAGTAGTAGTAGAAGTAGTAGTAGCAGTAGTAGTGAAGCTGAGTGTCAATGGCATCTGAAAGTCAAAAACCACAAGCAGGCTAGATGCCATCGTTTCCTTGCTGCTGCTCTGGTCTTAGTTCAGGTACGCAAATCTAGAAACCCCGCAAATCCCCAGGACCAGGACGTCTGGGAAATGAAGAGGCTGAACGCCACAGTGTTGAAGCCAGTTGGGTTGCAGCGGCGAGCACCGCGATGAGTAGGGACTGTATTAGACTGAATCCGTCTCTTCTGAGACTGCTCTACTTTGGAACGTTTCAGTATTGCATGCTGAATGCCAGTTCCGCAACGACTCTTGCACCACAAGCTTCCCGCTGAAGGATAAGAACAACAAAGATGCAACCCTGCTATTTACTGTGGCTTGCTCTCTTCCAGAACAGACTGAAGCGTCTGCAAACGTGTCCATGCAGCCACCGATTCTGCTGGAAAATGCCGGCTGTGTTGTCGAAAGTGGCGGTTGATAAGGCGCCAAGATTTGTTGAGGGTACTACAAGCACTGCAACATATGGCACAGAACAGCGTCCAAGAGTACTCCAGGCTCGCAATACTTTTCGTGGGTGGGTAGTTGTTGAGTAGTTAGACGAGGGGACGATTAAGTCCTGAAACCTTCAGCCACGTGTGCGTGCCTTCCTTGGCATCTAGACAAAGCAACTGAGATCGTCGCCACATCCGCATGTTGCTGGGGGCACCCTTGAGGAAGGTGTCCTTCAGACAGCAAACCAATCTAGATCAATCTGGGCCGGTGCTGCAGGTCGTGACGCAAATTGCGCAGGCACATGTTGTGGCTTTGTTGATGGCTGGCGTGGAAGGAAGATGGGAAAACAGTTCAGGCCTTCCGCGCAGGTTTTGGCTTCACAGCCCGTCCATACTGTTGTGATTTGCAGCTTTGCACTTAAATTCTGAAGGATCTGAATACCCAAAGCAGAAATGAATAGTTTCCGGTCTTATCTAGCGCGCTGCTGGCACCAACAAAACAATGCCGCCTTTGGCTTGATTCAAGTGCACTTACTTCGGTGATGTTCGGTGCCATGTCTTCATCCCTTGGTCAACACTGTAGCAGTGCTAGGTACCTCCGTGCGGACGTCGGATTCCATTCCAGGAAGGTCCCTGGTCGCAGCTTCAGCCGTGTCAGTCAATGCTAGCGAGTCGTCATGTTGAGCCTGACACTGCCGTGATTGGAGTGCGCCCGCTTGGGCCTGCAAGCGTTAGTGGCGTCTTTTTCATAGCTACTTCCCCACTCCAAAGCTTGTGACGCGTCCTAACAAGAAGGCAAGAGCATGTTGGAGTGCTTGGAGAAAGCTGCCTCGTACCCTCGGGCTTGCAACCACACTGGGTCGTTAGCTGAAAACCTTTTCAAGTTGTCGTTCGGTTTGCTGTCCGTACCAGGAGAACTTTTCCAAGACTGCCATCAAGCAGTCGGCAGACTGCAGCTACGGTACGGTGGTCTGGGCATAGGTGCAACCCTTAACATTCCACAAGACCTTTCGCTGTCGCTAGCCTAGCAAAGCTTCCAAGGCAGGTATCTTCCTCCCACTTCCAAGACATGACCTAGCGCTAAGCAATCAGCCGAAACCTGCTCCTCAAAAGTCTCACATCTGCTTTTCGAGTGTTTGACCCAGACATCATTCTGCCATGTTCTGCCCAAACCGCAGAGGTGCTGGATTCTAGGTTTCAGCGATGTGTTCATGCAACTATATGCAACCATTCCCAATGCGGGGCCTCAGGGGCCTGCCCAACACGTCGTAGATCTGCAATGGGCCAAGAATGTACTGCGTGTGACAGGCAAGACTGTTGCAAGAAGCACCAGTAAGAGGTGCACCTCAACACCGTCCAGTCCGACATAATGAACCTGTACTCCATTAATCGCGAGCAGCTACCTATGCCAAACTGCAAAGAAGTGGGTGAGTAAACAGACGCGTCTCCCAGCTTCTGGAACTGAGCAGGATGCGTCTGACCATGTACTCACGAAAAGGAGTTTGAAAGTGAAGCCGCATGGATGCAATGGGGTTTCGTACCTGCCAACCGAAGGCTTTTTGATAGCAGCGTGCCAACACATGTGAAAGCTGCTGCGAGTATCCGCGGTCGCACTGCTGTGGTGGACGCTCCAAGGAAGAGGGAGATCGCTCAGCAATCCTTGGACGGATGCGCCCAGGGGCTCATGATGTCTCTGCAAGGTAATGCGGAAGACTTCGTCCAGCCTGCTCCCAACATCCACCTGTGAGGACATCCTGATTGAAATCTGACACGTAGTTGAGCGTTGGTAAGCAGGCATTTATGCATTGCTGAAGTTCACATCGGTAGCACGAAAGCACTCGCAGCCTTTCCGACCCGCTTGGCGGTCGACCACGACTTGTCGGGCGATTCTCATCACGCCGCCTGAAAAACCGTTGACTTTCATTGAAGTCTGAATCCTTCCCATGCCGTTGCTCCGGCTCCTGCTTGCCGAATGCGACGGCAACCGAGGAGGAGCTCGCCTTGCCAGGTCCTGACCCGAGATCCCCACAGCTATCACAAAGCTGTCCTGGACGAGCATCTACTGGCTTCAGAGAGGCGCACAGAAGGTGGCTGATCAAGGAGAACAACCTGCTTGAAGTCGAAGTGCACATGACCTAATACTTCGCAAAAGGATCCTGTAATTTGTGCTCGTCTAACGATAAATCTTGTTCAACGATTGGAAGCTTGGCACCCTGCCAGGAGCTTTGCGGCACAGGAAGGTTGCAATGAACCTACGGCCGTGCACGCTCATGTTCCAGAGCTTCGTCAAGTATTCACTCGACCAATAGGCAGCCCGAAGGCCTGTCATCGCAGTACACAGAGAATTCCCGAACACCCCTGCAAGTGTCCTGCCACGTTGCAGGTCCCCGACCGGCGTGAGCACCGGCAGGCGTAGATCAAACACTTTTTTGTACTACGACTCCTACGACTAGTATACTGTGCAGTTGACATGTTTAGCTTGCGCAAACAGACTTCACCAGACGAGTTCAGGTGGTTTCTGTAACACCGCCACCAGCCAACACCAACAACGACCCACTTAGCTGAGAATTTGAGGTTAGGATCGCCAGGCTTCAGGGCCGATTCAGGATCGAAGAGGTGCAGCGGCTCCTCCTCCTTTCCCAAAATGCTAAACAGGTCGGCACGGCGGAGGTTGTGTTTCATGGATTCACAGGGAGGCCTTCTTGCTACTTTCCCCTGTGCTCCGAATCGGAGCGAAGATTGCGTAAGTGGAGTCCCTAAAGACCCCGAACGACCTCTAAAGTTTGGTAGGTACTACCAAGGGTGTGGTTTGGCTTGGCGTGGTTGTCCTCCAGATTCTTGTTGTAGTTCCAGATGTTGAATCCGGCCACCTCGCGTGGGCCAGGCCAGGCGGTAAGAAATGAAGTCACTCCGTGCGTGCGACACGAGCCGTGGTGGGATCCCAATGCTTCCAAAACCTACGGTCTGCGCAATCAGCCCTGATGCCTCACGGTCCGTGTCAAAGAGAATGCGGAGGTAGTTGCGCTGGCGGGCACAGAACATCCAAGCACTGCGAGATTCTGCGAGCGCAGAAGCACAAGACAGAAGTGGACTCTGAGGACACTCACATCGCTGATGTCCCCAGCCGCCTCTGCAGCCTCGGCCTGCCGGTATGGATCTCGTCATGCTGCCTCCGTCAGAATCCAGTCGGCACCTTTAAAAAGGGTGCCAGCCACATGTGCTGGTCATCCATTGTGCAGCAGACCTCGGACAACTGTGATTCACATACCTCGAAGACCCTCATCGAACAAAAAATGACTGATGTACCCCATCGAAAAGGTTCCGAAGCGTTCGGACGTCCCCCTCCACGCCCTGCTGGGACCGCAGTTGCTGCATACATGAACTATGTCACCAGTCTCTGCATGCTGATGTTGGACGAAGGCCAAGTGCAGCTACGCCTCCAGGTCGTTCAAGTCTCTGGGGTAGGCATCCAGCTTGACCTGTCGATGTCTTCCCTTGAGCCCCCGGCAAGGCTTTCGACTGAGCACTTGTAAGTCACTTGAACCGAAGACCTTGGTGTGAACAGACGTTGCTGACGTTGCCTTTACGAGACTATCACAGTGTTGCACATCACCTCTACATGAAGGACGACTTTCTGACCGTTCGGGGTTCGGAGGGGGAACATGCAGGAAATCTCAAGTCTTTGCCGAGCCGAGTGAGTCTCGAACTCAACTATGATCTCATGGAGGCAGTGTTCCCCTGAACCGAAACACGAAGCCTGCACAAACTAGCCAGGCAATAGCATGCTTTCACTGTAAAAGATTGCTCCTGCGACCGAATCGATACAGTGGTAGTACTGCTTAAGAAATGGCTTAATACTTGAGCCCCTCGACTCACCGTAAGATATTGATTAATTGAAAAACCGAATTCGAGTGTACCCTGACCTCGGGTTGCCAATTTCTTGTTTTGGTCTTCTCGATGTTGCTCCGGTTGCTTTGTCGGGCTCCGAAAACACTAATGTGAGAAACTGAAGGGCTGGATTTGGATCCATGAGAAACACCTGGAGGAATTGAGCCCGCAATTTCTGCCCCAACTGAGGCATTGCCTTCTCAAAATGCACAAGGCTTTCCGGACAGTCAGGAATCCCCTCCCATCACCTCCCAAGCCTTCCAAGGTAAAATGCCTTCTGAGGGATCGTCAGAAACTTACCGAGATAAGAAATGGAACAGATCTATTTCCTACTTGGTCCAATTCAAGGGTTCGGGGCAAGGGCTTAATCTTGTGCCTTCCGGAAGTCTTCTAAAGGCGTCCGAAGACTCGCAATAAGCCTTGTATAGGCTGTGCCGGAAGCCACTCAATTAACGGGAATATTACTTCGTACATTTCAGAATCAATCTTTCATTTTGGGGGCCTTCCCATTAAGGAGTTTGGTGCTCAACAGGGTCCGAATTTTGCTGATATTGGAGTCCTTACAAGTTAAGAAGCCTGCGCTAAGAAATCCAGGGTACCCTCAAGTCTGTAAACATGTCTTCTACAAATTCGAGCACATGAGTATTGAGAAGACAAGCATACCCTCACCGACTTCACAAGACTCTTTGGTAAGCAGCGCGGTCACTCTACTTAGCTTGGCTTGCAAGCTGAATGATGAACCGCTCCACTGATCTCTGCACTCTGCACGGCATGGCCTCATCAGGCACCATGGGAGCGAGATTGCCATCAAGTACCTGTTCGGGCAGTTGAGGGTGCTGTAAGTCTAGGGAGCCGAAATGGAAAAATCTAACAACAGAGACGCGCAGACAAGCAGACAAAATAGGCGAGAAACAGCGACTCATAGATGGAAACACGCAGGGACACAAAATAAACACAGCAATGGAAAGAGACGAGGGACGAGTACAGCGGCCCCAGGGACCCACCAGCCAGGGACCCAGCCTCCAATGCTGTCAGTCCCACATAGAACTGATCTCCCCAGGTGGAGTTCACCTGGCCAAGTCGATGCTGCACCGAACAGCTCTTCATCTTGCAGCAAACCATGAAAAGGCAGACCAAAAGCGTGACCGTGCTGCATACCTTGGCGTGTGGAGCATGTGCTCTGCAGCAAACGGAAGGCGGGAGACACGGGGAAGAGATAGCAGCGAGGGAGCCGCAAATGCTGTGCTGCTGACGATCAAAAACACGTCAGCCGTAGCAATCTTGCTACACTTTGTTGCTTGAGGCTTGCACGTCGCGACGGAGTTTGTCTCCGTAAACCACATCTTACACCCTACATGTGCTTGAATCCTTCAGCAGCGCTTGTAGGCTTTGCGACTTCTGGCCAATGTCGAAGCTTTACGTGGTCCAAACCAACCTTCGTGCGATTCCAGTTCAGCTCGTTGCAGGGTTTCGGCTTAGGATCTGCAACTGCCCAATTAGAGCAGATCTGAGGCTTCTTTTGCACTTGATCACCCAATCTCTGTAGAAGGATTTCCCTGCCGGCGTGACATGAAAATCTGGATTCAGGCGGTGTCTTCGCTTCGTCGGATTCGCCACTTGACCGCATTAATCAGGTCTCTTAGCATGAGAGCACCGCCGCACAAGCTCTGACGCTCCGATCGCCAAACTCCACGCTGAGCTGCCACCCCTCTCCATCGTTTCTTGCTAGATCTACCTGCCAAGTTTCAAGAAGTTTCGTGGATAAAATGGACTTGCAGACATTTTTGACCATCTCCACGTTCGAAACTTTTGCTGGGATTTTGTTGATAGATTCTTCCGCCAAGAATGGCTGGAGAACATCGACTTTGCCAAAAATGCCTTCCATGCAGAAATGCACTGATCATCGTGTGCTTGCTTGGGCCCTCGCTATTCCACGTCCCCTTTGTCGCTCCAGGGCTCGCGTCATTGGCCGACCATCGGACAGGCGTGGAGTTACCTGGACGCAGGAGCCCGTTCCAGGAGAACGCGGCTGAACCTACAAGCCAGTCCTGTCCACGAGGTGAAATTCCATGTCCTGCCTTGGAACAGTCTCGGCTTTTGTTCTCCCCCAAGCTGCCACAATACGGAGATCTGTGGTCAGGTTCTGCCTACTGCTTGCCTGAAGACTGATGAGCTGCGGGCGCTGGCACAATCAGCTGTCGGTGGTCTTCCCCCCAGGGCATCTGAATTCATCCCCTGGCGGCACATTCCACTCAGGAATTGACAATATGCTGCTTACCCTGCTAAGCCTCCTCGGCTTCTTCCTGCAACTCCTGGCAAAAGCTGGACCATTGGCCAAACTCACCTCTCCCACCAAACCCCCGACAAAGTCAAACTAACAGCGGTGCCCACATTTGTACCAATCATATCGACCTCTGCTTGGGATATCTCATGTTTGTCTGTTGAACACACTGGCAGCGCACGCAGGCACAAGGACCACATCATTTCCAAGCGCCGCGTGCGCCGATTGCGCTGAATGCACCGATGATGCACACATGGACTGCATTGAATGCGCCGACTTGCGCTGATTGCGGCGAATTGCGCTGTTTGCGAATTGCGGCGAATTGCGCCGATTGCGCTCATTCCGCCTCGATCATTGCGCTGAAGTACTAACGTATATTACCTTGTTTATTTTATACGTAGGTAAGGTAAGAATGTATTTATATGTGTAAAAAACATATATGTATATCAATAACTATACATATATATATATATGTAACTATGTAATACTATGTATACGTATGTGACTATGTGAGTTGACGACCACCGGATGTGGAATATTATCATGCATACGTCAGTGCTGGAGAAACCACCCTGTTTTGCCTATCGTCTGGGCCCCGGACGTATCAATCAAACCTTTCATGAACTTTGAACTCCGAAGGTGGGGTCTTGGACTGATGGCGCGCCCCTGATTTTTAAATCCGAGCTCTGACAAACCTTGAATTCCGAGGACGGAGCCTTTGACTGATGGGGCGCCCCTGATTTTTAAATCAGAGCTCTTCAAAACCTTGAACTCCGAAGGTGGGGCCTTACACTGATGGGGCGCCCCTGATGTTTCAATCAGACGTCTCACGAACGTGGATCTCCGAGGCTGGAGCCGGAGCCCCGGACTGATGGGGCGCGCCTGATTTCTAAATCACAACTCTTAAGAACCTTGAACTCCAAGGGTGGGGCCTTGGACTGATGGGGTGCCCTTGATTTTTAAATCAGAATTCGTACAGACCTTGAACTCCGAGGACGGAGCCCTGGACTGATGGGGCACCCCTGTTCTTTCGAATCGGGACTCTTACAGACCTTGAACTCATGGACTGATGGGGTGCCCCTGAATTCCGCCGGCCCTTCACGAAGGTGAGCTCGGCCGGGATGATAGCCTGCAGGTCGGACCACCGTAGCGAGGCCCAGACCTTGACTAGCTTGGCCCAAGCCAAAACCCTCCAGCCCACAGCGTGGCCCAAGTCTAAGACCACAGCTTTTAGCATGACCAGGATGAAGACCGGGTAGCGAGGGGCGAGGGGCCCGTTTGATGAGCAGGGCACCCTCCGACCGCAGTTCCACTATCTTAATTATCCTTAGCGGCCCAAACCAAGCGGCCATGAGTAGCGCGCTGCTCCCTTTCGAGTTCGGCCATCCAGGCCACCGCCTTCAGGATAGCGTCGGGAACTGTACGGCCATAGGGCTCATCCCGCCGGGCTAGCACATAGTCCGCCAGGTCAGCGGGACGCCCAGGTGTGGACCTTAGCTTAGCCTCACACAACCGCTTGAGGATCGAAGGCGTCTTCCCAGTTAGCAGGAGGGAGGCACGGTCCGGGTCGAGGCTTCCCTGTAGCGTGACCAGCACGGGCGCGCCAATCAGCAGGAGTTTTGCTTCCCGCTCCCCCTTGAGAGGGGTAGCTCCGGAGCATAGACCGGATCGCGGCCAATCCCACCTCTGGCATGTATCTTCACCGGCGGCACAAGCGTCATCCAAGTCCGGTCGTCGCTGACGTAGCCGTGCGCCCTCCGGTCGACCTTGGCTTCCTCCCTAGCTTCCTGGAGCCAGCTGTAGACAGCCTCCGCTAGCCAATAGCGAAGGTTCAGCTCCATAGCTAGCTGCCGAGCCATAGCCGAGAGGCTAGCTCCAGGGTTCCAAAACCCTCCCTAGTCTGCGAGGAATGGGTGGGCCTTGTCGAGCACTTGGCGTTGCTTTCTATCAAAGTGCCGCCGCGGCCACCAAGGCACTAGCAGCACTAGCAAATTGGTCCCCCTCCGCACTAGCAAGCTCCCCTCGACATGCGTGGGAATCTCGGTCGGGGCACCCGGTAGCGGCGACCCAACCTCCCCGTCGCTGTCGCTGAGCAAGGCGATTGCAGGAAAGCAGGGCTAATTAAATTAGCCCTGTTCCCTTTCCTCACCCCACTTCAAACTTGCCCCCCTCCTAGGGGGCTCCTTAGCACAATGGCCACGGACATATTCTTCGTTCTCGGCCATGTGAACAACAGTAGCTCCAATCCTTTGAACTAGCGGAAACTCCTGCGACGCTCCCTAGCAAACACCTTCGATGTTTTACTAGCCGAAACACCTTCGATGTTGCTAACGACGGACGTTTGGCGCTAGCATACACGGTCGTACCTCGTACCTCGGCACGAGTGCGTACACTAGCTAGCACTTCCAATCCCGCCACCACCCCAAGTCACCGCCTGGGGTTCGTAGCAGCTGAGCTAAGGAACAGCGGCGGTATATACGAGACATGTTCAAGACCAAGGCTTCAAAGCTCAGAGAAACAGACAGTGATTCACATGTGATATTACCCAATTGTTTTCGGTCTTATAACGCAGTCTGTCCCAGGAGTATATTTATAGATATGTTATAGACTATATCGGGTTTATAACGAATTTTGGCCACGAGTATAGCTTTTTTAGAACATTTTAATTTGGAATCAAGCTGCTGCAACATTCCGCCAACTGTACTCCACGATCTTGGCACACTTGATGCCTCGGGCGAATTCACAATGGGAGCGTGCGTGTGCGCATGTTTGTGTGCGTGTGGAGTTTGTGTCTGTGTGTTTGTGCCTCTGTGCGTCTGCGGTGTGTATGTCTGTCTCTGCATGTGTGTGTGTGTGTGTCTGTGTCTGCATCTGTGTCTGTGTGCAACTAGAGACTTACCACTAGATGGAGCCTGCAGAAATGATGGTGCATTGCGCTTATGTTTGTCTATGTCAGCAACGGACCATCTCTTTGCGGAACGCCAACCGGATGTTGCGGAGAAAAATGTGTGTCGGCACCTCATTTTTGCACCGAACACCATGCTAAGGAATACTCAACTGTTAGTATCAACCTGAAAATCTGAGTGCGTGAGTCGTCTCAACACATGGGCGAAGGCTACACCTACATCGTGTTGGGGTTCATGAATCTAGGCATCGCAGAGAGGCACCGGCCTTCACGATCTGATCGATCATGTGTACCTGCAGACCAAGCTGGGCCCCTGAGCCGACATTTCAACAAACCAGGCCCGCGAGCTGGCAAGGGCAATTCAATTGTCGGCGCTTTCGCTTTGTTCAGCCACCGTTTGCTCGACTGAGACTTCAACCCAGTGTTATCACTGGCCTTCCGTCACGGCATCGCTTCGGCCACGGTTGCGGTAATCGCTCCCCACCATGCAACGGCAATGTAATGCAGCCGGTCCCGATGAGCTCGATGGCATGTGCACCCAACAGGTGTACAATGTCGTCGTAATTAAGATGCGGTTCATGAGTTCATGCGCAGGATCCCGTATTTCTGTGCTTGCTTCCCCTGTTTTCCTGCCCGCCCCGCCTCTGTAGCAAAATAGGCTGAGGCTGACAGGAATGGATGCGCATCTGACGTGACAACTTCTCGTGTTGCTCTGACGTTGGTATCGCTTTCAAGGCTTCATGCCAGCATGCACGTACCTCAGCTTGCGCAACCCTAAGCTGGTTTGTGATCGATCCTGGGTGTCTTTCCGCACTTGGGTGGAAACTTTCAATCTCCACTCTCCATCATGTGCCCGGAAGGGTTTTCGGATTTGGTTTTGGCGTCGTGAAGAGCCGGGTTTTTGGACTCAGACAGGAACTCGACTTCCCATCTGTGCAGCGCCCCCTCTTGGAAATCCTTGTGTGTGAACCGTTCTGGCTCATGCGTGCAGAGGATTTGGGGGCTCGTGGGTCTGGGCATCGAGGGCGGACACCGGCCTCCAAGCGAAAACTGTCCAACAATCGCTGTACTTAAAGGTGGAGGTGCGATCTGATCGATCACATTTGACGTGTACCTGCAGACCGAGCCGAATCCATGAGCCGGCAAATTGAAAACAATGGGCCCATTAGCTTGCAAGATTCGTTTGCATCGCTGTCGTCGTCTTCAGCTACCGCTTGCCCAGACGAAACGTGGTGAAGGCAGGGCAGCATGAGTGTCCTCGATTCTGTCAAAATCTTTGTGACTGTTTTGTGTGCGTGTGTGCGGGAGTGGGCCTATGTGTCTGTAGGTGTCCAGCTAGCGAATGAACACTCCGAGGCCAGAAGTAGATATGCTGTGGCAGTATATGGGGACATCCCTCCGCCTTGCCCCACAAAGACCCCACAAGGATGACCGAAGGTTCGAAAATCCCGAGCATTCATGTACATGCAGCAGTTCTGGCACAGTGTCGCAAGTTTCGTTGGTTTTCACCCAAGAAAAGACACGCGCAAGATAATCGCGGCAGAAAATGGCAGGAATGCTCATGACTGCTGGGTGTTTGGTGTAAACTTCTGCCATGGCAAAACACGAGCCATGTGCTTGCTGACGAGATACAGTACATGCCCGTGAACAACCCACCGCGCACGGTGTCATCCGCAAACAGCCTCAGAGCCAGAAGCGGAGACACAAGCCAGATGCACCGGTTCTTAACCATGGGGAAGGACGCACTGCGTCTGGTTTGCGTTGTTCTGAAACTCGTCACCCTGACAGAACCTGACCGGTTGTCAGAGGCTGAAGCAGCTTGTGCTCGAGTTTCTGGTCCTGGTGCACGGAGCGCGGGATCAGCATCACTCTCCACATCAAAGGCTCCAAATCTCAAGCCCCTTGAAACTCCTCGCCGTTCTCTGCTCGAAGAGCCAGGCAAGTGCCCTGCGACAGAACATGTCGAGCTTTCCATTCCGTGCTCCGCCAGTGCTTCGCTTCATGTGACATGTCGCACACAGGCTTTCTCTGAACTGACTCATGGCATACACCAATGCCCCACTCCGGAATCAGCCGACTAGCAGATCGGAAAACCCATGAAAAATCTTGAGCTCAGGATGCTTCCAACGTTGTACCGTTGCACTGCCGCGGCACCCTGTTTCGATTGACGCACTCCACAAGCTCCACTGGCTCTGCTGCGTCGTTGGTGTCTTCTGCTTCTTCCACCTGGCATCATGGCGAAGCACACACAAACTAGAGAATCGAGTATCCCGAATGCGTTTTGAGCGCTAGCACCGAACATTAAATATCTCACCCATCCACCCAGCCACCCATCCACCCATCCACCCGTCGGCCGATTCACCCATCCACCCATCCATCCATTCCTCAACCCATGCATCCATCCATCCATCCATCCATGCATCGGTGCTGGCGGGATTCGCAAACATGACCGAAATCCTTCCCCTAAGAACTGGCAGGATTCGAACATTTCGAGGCTGGAGTCCACTCGACGCCACACCCACCGCGTCCATCGGGAGAGTTGTCATTCCGAGGCCGATGTGAAGCCAATCTCTTGCAATTTCCGTGAGGGCTGTATATTTTGAACACGAATTATCACGGCACCACATGTGCCAGCAAACTGCTTCCCCCATGTCCTGGCCGCACAACACAATCTTGCGTCATCAAAAAATCAGGAATTGTCCAAAATGCTGCTCCCATGTAAAGTACTCGTGGAATTGAGAAACCTGAAATGACCAAATCAAATCTTTCCGTCAAGTACTGGCACGATTCAGACATTTCGAAGCCAAAATCAATACAGCACCACACTCGCAGCACCCGAAGACGCCGGCAGCACTGAGAGGGTTGCCATTTCGAGACCAACGTTAGGCAAATGTCTTGGAATTCCCCATGGAGCGCGCTTCCCGAGGGGATTGTCATTTCGAGACCAACGCGAGGATAGTGGATTGGAATCTACACTGAATCGTCACGTCACCAAGCGGGCATGACCGCACTGCATAATTTGACGATGCACGGCGACTCCTACTAAAGCCCTGCCCTGTGAGGTAGAAACAACCTCAGATCAACAGCATCGCCACGTCATGCCATCCAAACAGCCTCATCAGATCATGCCATCCCAACCACCCCCACGGAAAACAATCCCATTGAACATCCCCAGCAGCCGAATGGCTGTCACATTATAGGGCACCAGTCCATGCCCGGCCGGGCATTAAGCACTAGATTTGCCGAAACCAGGGCCGAATGCGTTTAACAAGCCTCGGAAAATTGGGTTCGCGCAAAGCTCCGAGAGCTCAATTTGAGCTGCGTATGGGTTATTGCTGAATGAACATAACGTAAAGCACGTTCGGATGTAGGGACGGCATTGAACGCCAGTTTTGCCGAAACTGGAGACGAAGGTGTTTAAGTAGCAGGCCTTGGAAAATGCATTTGGGCTTGGTCGGAGCTCCGGGAACTGATTCGAGCAGTTTCTGGGTGGCTGCACTTTCGGGGGTGTAGGACCAGCAATGAGCTTCAGATTTGTTGAAACCAGGGCCAAATGCATGTAGCACCAGCAAAGCTGTAACAACTCTAAAGGCGTTTCCCAAGCCTGGAAAAATGCATTTTGCATCTTCAGTACGATTTACGGGTTCAAGGACGGCTTTGAGCTCCAGATTTGATGAAACGAAGGCCAAATGCGCGCACTTGGAAAATGCATTGGGGCTTGGTCGCTGCCTTTGAGAGCTCAGTTAAAGCCTCGGGAATGGGGCAAAGCTGAAACAGCTCTAAATACGTTTTCCAAGCCTTGAAATAAGATTCTACCTTTGCTCCGACCCCGGAACTTCCCCCAAACCGGCACGTACCTAGAACTGGAAACCGACCCGGAACCCACCCCGGAACCCCACACAGGAACCCACCCCGAACCTCTCCGGAACCCTCAGAACCTGGCCGCTTCGGCCCGGAACCCCGCCGGAACCCGCACCCGAACCGGTGCCGGAACCTCTCCGCCCCGAAACCTGCCCCAACGCTGTCCGAAAAAGGTAGCTCGGGAGCAGCAGTGGGAATGTTTTCAAAAGACACAGCATCCTGGTACTTCGACTGCGCACGGCCTTCATGAGGCCCTGTTGCAGCTGTGCCTGCGAAAGCGCTGCACCGTATGTCAATCTGCAAGTCTGCTGTCGCTCCACCGACGCTAGGCACTAGTAAGGCTCTCAGAAGCGAAATTTCGCCAAAGTGAACCACACGTGTCCCCCAAGGTTCTGGCCATAAGCTTCTCATCGTCGATGTCATCGAAGTCCGCCTCCAAGTCAACTGCGTCCTGCCACATGAGGCAGATCGCAGAAAGCAGTTGCAAAGCGTCCCTGCGCGAAATGCTCCCATCTTGATGAAAGCTGCTCCGGCTGACTACGCTTCACTTTTTCTTCACTTTTCCTCTTCCTGTTTTCTGCTGGTGGCAAGCAGGCGCATGCTCGGTGACGGTCGTCACAAGCTGCATGCTGGGAGCTGCCATATCGTGCTACCAAAGCGAAACACCCGTTTATACAGATGGGGGGTGGCCTCCTCGTTCAAGCATGTACTAGTTTACAACTCTGTAATCTGTAATGGGGAAAGACGTGCAGCTCCCCTTCAGGACGTCGGCTCAACTGTCCCAAAAGTCTTTGCAACCGCCGCCGCAGATGATGGATTTAGACTGTATGCATGGCTGCCCATTCTGCGTCGCTGGATTGGCGATCTCTGATCGCTTGCAAGTTGGCTCGGCAACTGCGGAGCTGGCGATTGCAGTGGAAGCGATGGGAGCATGCAACTGTATGTGTTTAACTTCGACCTGTCAATCACGTGTATTTCTTAAAGTCGCCATGACAAATCCTCAGCTCTGAGGGTCATGTTGGGGCCATGGCAAGCTTTCAGTGACTTGTCGTAGCCGTCACAGCCAGGAAGCAAGTTCCGGGCTGTTTTGGACTGTTTGGCTGCGGAAAGTCTCAACAACCCGGAGAAGGCTCTCCGCTACCCTTACCGGTATGCGATTATCCTCAGGTCTGTCCTTTGCGTCTTAGCACCCCGTGTCGCACTAACTAGGGCCTCTTTGGCGTGGAGCCTTCAACGGAAGTCTGTCCCATGGAGATGTCTGCAGGAAGTCGATGAGACCCTTCCATTCTCGCTGAGCATCCCCAACACGGCAAATTGGCAATAGGTGTGTCGCTGCATGAGTACCAATAAAGATAAAGACTTTGATGGGACTACCAAGTTGAAAGTGAAAGGTGTCGTCCTCAGGTAGCGCACCCTCGACGACAAAGGAGAGATATCGCGCTCCTGTTTCTGCAGGCGCTTTCAAATACTGCCGATCTTTCACCATCTGGTGGAAAAAGATGGAGATCCCACGCGAAGTAGAACCGCATGGGGCTCCCAGAACATAAATCTCCATGGCCCGTCATGCCCGCATCTTGTAGTAAACCGTTATCTTTGAGTGTCTGCAACACCTCTGTGTAAACCCACCCACTAAGGTGCAGGCGGCGTCCTCGCATCTGCTCAGGGAACACCCCTCGCCACTGCAGCACCCCCCGCGTCCCGCAGATACAACAACGGTCCACAGATGTCCACAGACTATGCGGCAACAGTCATGACCTCTAGACTGCAGTGAGGGATCGACGGGCTATGCCAACAGAAACCAGACAGCCGGGCCAGCATAAATCATGGTCTGGCCTGGCCTGTCGTGTGCAGGGTGAGAGCATGTTCCACAACTGTGGAAACATGGACCCGGCGACCCTGCTAGGGCTGCTAGGGCCCACGAACATGGAGGAAGGCAATTCGAAGCACATGGACTGTAGACGTGTCGAGCCTAGGTTCCTGCTCCACCAGCATGTATATTACGCCTACCCACGTCACTACGGCACCCGAGGCTACAGACCCGCAGCGAGCTACGCTGCCAGGTGGCGCAGGAACCCCCAACGACTCACTACAGGGAAGCAGCACCTTGCCCAGGCATTTCCTGACCAAGGCCAAAGGGCTTGGCCTTGGCATCCTGAGCTTGTTTGTTTGTTTGTTTGGGGTCTTCTTGCTGCGGCATCCTCAGGGCTTCGCGGATTTGTGATGCTGTCTTGCCTCCTACTCTTATGTGCCAGACGGATAGCACACACTAAGAGTTCTACAGCGAACTAGCCAGTCTGCTGTAGGGCCGGAAGCATTGAGGCATTCAGGATTATTCGTGATCATTCGTGCCATTCAGATTTGTGTGAAAGCAGAGTCTGCTACCAGCAACCATCACCACAACTACCAGAACAACTACAACCACAACCACGACGACGACACGATGTCGTTCGAAAACAGCAAAGTGTGCAATTGAACAATAACAGGCGACGCGGCACACGATAGTTTGCGACATTAGCCGTGTGAGTTCAAGCAAAGTTTCTGGACAAAAATGGCTTTGGAAGTGGAACTTGCGTGCAAGATGGCTTGTGCTGGGAGGTGCTTCTTCTTGCAACCGCCACGGAGAAACGTCAGCACAACCAGGCCACGTGGCTATGCAGATTACTGACTACTGATCGCATTCATGCACTGAATTTGCTCTGCCTGGAAGGCCTGCTACTTCACCGCGACATGCTCGCAGCGCGCAGATAGCTTTGTGGCTGGTGTGCCCGACGTCGGCGGAAACAAGCAAACGCTCATCCGACGCAAAGGATCTTTACACAGTGCCCCACTGCGCATTCGACGAGCTGTCTGAATCGGAAGATTTCGTGCCGACCAGCAGGCTAGATTCCGCTTGCAAGGGGAAGAGCCCCGTGAACGGTATCGGCAAGTCGGTCACGAGCATCTTCCCATTCTTGTGTGCAGTCCTTGCATGCTTTGAATCATGGCTCTCTGGGAGCTCACGACAGCACCGATGCTAGCGCAGCTCCTCTGCTAGCAATTTCAGCAACTCACAAGGCAAGCTAACCGATGAGGCTCCTCGAGATGCAATCGTTGCTGTCAAGCTGCACCAGAGATTTGTCGACTAGTCTTCTGGACTGCATAATTTGTTCACACTTGCGATCATCGCTGCCCCACGATCTCTCTTAAAACGTCTTCGCTAATCTACGTCTTGAGGTGAAGTTTGTAGTCTTCGTGCAGGCAGCAGATGCTATCCGTTTTTCAAAATATCAGTCAGGATCCGGTCGCAGTCAGCAGACAACTATCCTACCAATCTGTGGCTGTTTCTAGTACATGTCGCAAAGCCCGTAAGTACTGCCCTTGTGCTGGGGTGATGCTCAGCAGACTCAACCAAGACAGGATACTACCCCTGGAACAGGCTCATGAGCAGCGTGACGCTGCAGGGAAAAGTGTCGTCGGCTTGGCTTGCTGTAGGCTGCTGGGAAGACATCAGTTGACTGCCTGCCACCCTGCACTGCTCTAGAGTTGAACAGTGCCGTCTGGGCAAGCTGGGGCCCAACACGGGCGGACCACTGCACTTTCAGCTCCAGTCTTGCCATCACAGCAGGATACCTGGAGGCCAGATCAGCACAGCACCTTCAAAACGAGCCCATGCTCCCACCAAGACATTCGTCGGGCAGTCAAGAACTGCCCAGTGGATCAGCTTGCCTTCTTGGCGGCACTCACGGCATTGTCTGCTCCAAAGTGCAGCAATGAACGATGCAGGCATTCGGGATCATGAGAGGGTCCACGCAAACGCTTCGACAACTCTCTTAACATTGACATCTCTTAACAGGTCCTCGCTGTGAATCACCATGCACGACGACAGCATGCATCGCTTGCGTCCTGGTCTACGGCTCGCACTGATGATTCAGTGAAAAGACATTGAGTCCTCCATGATTGCAGAAACCGAAGCGATAACCGGGCTTGTGACATCTGATTCCCCCGACGTCAATTCAAAGTTAACCACCTGTACAGGAAACAATCTTGGAGATCTCAAGTGGCCTTGCTGATCAGAATGGTCTTGCAATATCTCGGAGTTTTCATGCTCTCTCGCAACTGACCTTTAGCAGACCATTCCTCATAGCCTGATCAGAGCCAGGATTTCACTGCAGTAGTATAGCTGGCACGATGATCGGCCCAGGCGCCACTGCGACAACCTTGCTCGAACTCAGAGAAGCCAAGAACCTCCCAACTCTGGTGATCTACTGTCAAGGCCCCGCCACACTTACATCCTAATCCAGACTAGATCGGGTCCGCAGGGCACCCTCGGAATTGGGCTCCTGACAGGCACTGCCGGCGATTGCTTCTCCTGCGGAGATGCCTCCGAATGTCACAAGAACAGAGCTTGAAGACGAAGCAGACCGCACCAAGCTTTCAGCTGTCCGGCTTGAGCAATATGAGTCTCCACATCACGGAACCGAAAAAAGTCGACAGTGACATTGGTCTACGGCAGACACGAGGCCTGTGCCGCAGCCGCGGCCCTGAGGCGCTGGGATGCCGACTTCTTGGCCTTGACAGCTTGAGAGGCTCCAGACTGTCAGACTGAGCTCAGTGTCTACCACGCCCAGGCCTTCTTCCTGGCCTTCAACTCTGCGGCAGAGCAGAGGTGACAGTGGCCACATTCCTGAAAAGGGGCAACCCTGACATCCTAGCAATTGCCAGCGAAAGTGACTTCGGCTCGCGGACGACGTCTAGTTTTCCGTTTGCATGCTTGCGTGCAGCCTGGAATGGATGTCGGGAGTGGAGTTTAGACCATTGACAACACTCGGACTCATACAACTACACATTTGGCTTGCAAGGCATCTGCACGATCTCCACTCCAAGAGCCGGACCGCGCCATTGGCACATCCCTGTGGCCGCCAAAACCAGGCGCAAGGTTTGCAGTTGCCAGTGCCTCACCATTTCCAGGCTCAGGCTCAGTCTTCTAAAATGGGGGAATAACAAGAGAGAGAGAGGACCAGCCATCAAAAGCCACAGAACATTCTCGGCCGGGGCCCAGGCCATGGACTTGCGATCCCAACGATTGCTGGGGGCGCCGGGTTTCCAATGGCTCGATGGCTGGGAAAGTCTCGGAGGCCGGGAAGCCCTGGGAAGAGACGGAGGATTCCGATCGCTTGCCGAGACCAAAAAAAACTCCCGGGCCCCAGCCTTTTTGGGCCGCGGACGGGTCTGCGAGGATGACGAGGCAGGTTCCTCACTGACTTCCGAGGGTTGGCCCGTGTAACAGGAACACGGAGACAGGAATGTTGCGCATATTGCATGCCTTCAAAACTCTCTTTCAACTGATCTGTGCTGCATCATGTCTCCTCTTCAAACCCGTCCGCTACGTCCGTGGCACGCTGTGGGCGGGATTGGCTGATCCTGCACAGGACGTCTCATGAAAAACAACATTTCTCGAGCGAGCTGCTTGAGAATCTGGCCTGCTAGCATCGGAGTCTGAAGCATCTGCACAGGTTTCTGTCCCAACCTGTTCCAAGATCAGGCTGTCTGCAGCTCCCACTCTCGCATCTGTGGCGATGTAGAGACAACGGGGTGTCTTTGCTGCAACTTCTGCCGACGTGCGGTATCTACCGTGTGCGCATCTCGACTTCGCACGATCGCGCAAATGCTCCCAATCGAGCGTGAACGCCGAGCCCTCGACTTTGAAGGGACTCGTGAGGGTCGGCTCATCCTCTCTGCCTCGGAAGTGGAGGCAGTCGTATCTGCTCGAGTCCACATTAAGAAGTCTGTGTGAAATAGATGGATGCGGGACGTCACCAAGCTTAACCTGCTGCACGCCATGCTCGATGTAATCAAGAGTGCATGCGGACTTCTACTGAACATGAGTCAATGAGTCTGAGGGTGCGGCCACTTCCATGCTTCGGGCTTGTCACAGGGCTACTCGTCAGCAAGCAGGGTCGCTCTGGCCCAGGTTGAAGCCTGGCTGTGCTCTCCGGCCTCTCTGATCACAGAAAATATGACGCATCAGACTTGACCATCTGCCGCACTGTCGCATCTACTTGACTCCGCCTCGGAAGTGGCGGTGGGACTTGCGGGGGAGCTGGCACCATTGGCAAGGACGATCCTGCATACAGAGTCAAACGAGTGCTCATGTATGTACATTAGGAAAGGATGTTGGAGCCTGTGCGCAATCCTTCTCGAGCACGGTGCCTAGACTCAAACTCCACAGATCCTGTCGGGAGGTCGGATGCGTCGATGGCATCGAACGCCTCCTCAGAGCCCTTCGCCGGGCCTAGGAGTACCGAGCTCATGCTTCAAGAAACACCGAGGCCCAAGCAGCGTCATGCACCGCACCCTCCCATGTCTTGCGCCAAGCTACAGCTGTACACACTGCCGAAGCGAAGAGCCCCCTCCTTGCGCAATCGGTGCCCGACTGCTGGGGAGAGAGCAAAAGCGGTATCCCTCTCTGTCGCTGTGATGGGCTTCAGCGGTGGACATGTCAACTTGCGTCGGCGCGTCACACATGCGCAAGGCCACAAATTGTAAGTGAAGTAGATTTTCTCTGCTTGAAACAACAGCACCCGACGACGAGGGGCAGCTTTACTCTCCCGATATTCCTCGTCTTCGGAATCCACCACATCAAAGAATGTGTTTTTCACCTTGTTTGGCTTCAGTGTCTCGCCAAGCAACGTAACATCAGTGGCACATCCTAGTTCCAGCGCGCTCTACCAAGGAAAAACACGAAGGCCTGAGTGAAGATAAGCCCGCATGCCAGGTGCGGACAACTGCTGCTGCTAAGGATCTTTGAGCTTTGCCAGCTGCTCTCTGGCGGCGGCGAGAAAGCCTGCAAAACGGTCCGACCCTCGAATGTGGGGTTGCAACAGCAGCAAGAGGGTATGGTGTCAGTTGTCCATCTACATTCCAGAATAATTCCAGAGCCACGTCCCGACCCGGAGCTCCGTGTCCGAACCACCGAGAGCACTCGGGCAGACTTCACGTGCAGGCAAAGGCTCGGCACCTGGAGAAAGATCGAAACCATCATCTGCCATGATGTGAACCTCGGTCGGACTGGTTGCCTGAACACTGCAGCAGTTTCCGCCACCAGACCACCAGACTGGGCCTTTGACCGACGATGCTCCAACACTGAGTGGTGTCCTACTTCCAACCCCCCTCTCGAGCCCAAACCTCGACAAAATCAAAATCGGCCACGATTTCAGAGCCAGCTCCAAGTAGCATGGTACAATCAGAGCTTCACAAGCATTGGCGGATGGGGAACCTTGAAAAATCCTGACCAGACGTGCACCCTTTGACCCGCTGAGAGGAGACCCACCTCGACGTCGGCAAAGACCTCGCCGGCCTCCACCTCGGCCTGCGGTTACGACACTTCCGCTCGCTCTCTCTGAGTTTTAGGTGAGAGACCATGGGAAAGAAAAGGAGAATCCGTGGACTGCAACTTCTTGATGAAATCCCTGAGAAGCATGCCAAACTATCTCGATTCTGATGAGTCGCAAGAAAAGTAAGAGGAACTCTGGGTGGCGTGAGTGGAATTAAGGCGGTCTTCCCTTAGCAATATCACTGGCATGATGCTTTGTCCCTCTCTCTCAGGCTGGAAGCCCAGCACAGGTCAAACCCTGAACCTCGCGCACGCACGCGCACCTGCAGCGCTCTCTCTGTCTGTCTCTCTCTCTC